GGCTACGACATACTTCAACCTAAAGACAATTGAATTCATTTGATAATTGAATTCGGATTGAGTTGAAGTGGACGATGATGACGACGCCGGAGACGGCGACGTTGGACGCCTTTGCATTTGATCGGCTCGATGATAGATCGATGCGGTCCGAAAGACAGATCAGTTTGAGCAAATTTACACCCTTTATTCACGTCTAAAATGCACAAGTGGCAGGAAGAGTGTTGAGAACCATCGAACCGAGTTTTCGCATTGTACCAGCTGGTGTGTTTGTGTCTGCTTGGATGCATTTTCGTTTTTGCGCGCTACGCTGTGGGTGGATGAATGGATGGATGGATGGCTGGCTGGCTGAATGCAGATCCGGATATAAACGGTGCTGATCCCATTGAGACAACTCCCATGGAAACCGCTCTCTCGCAGTCGAGAATGCAACTTTTCAACATTCAACAACATTCTCTCAACCGCTGTGCCGTAATTGAATACCCCTGTCTCAGGATCATCGCACCATGTAATCTTATTAGGCACTGTTTCATTGGACCAAGTGGAATTAGTGAAAAAGCTTTGTCTCTCTCCCTCTTTTTTGCTGTTGTTGGTGTTATTGTCAGTGTCGGTGTTGTATCGACAGGGGTGACTGACTGTTCGAAGGTGAGCAGTTGGGAGTTTTTGGATGAAAACCTTCTCTTCTGGCCCATGGGATTACAAAGCAAGTAGTTTTGCATATCATTGTTTCCGAGTTGACGACACTCACCTGGATAAAAGGCGTCTAAGAAAGAATAAAACATCAATTGGACAATTTCTGTCTTGTCGTTTCTTCATCTTGTCTATTCTAAAACCAACACCACTATTCACTAACCCCATAGCTTGACGGGAGCAAAAGGTACTCCCGGGGGTGCTGAGCACTGAGTTCGTTGTATTGGATTGGATTGAAGCTTTAGCGAATTATATAAAGGCTTTCCGCGAAAAACGAGACCCTATATTACAATAATGGTGGAAAAGTTGGGAAAACTGGAGGCTTCTTGCGTGCAAAATGTTAATTTTAGCTACTAACTTCAATAGATTGCTCAGTCGCTTATTGATTACAATCTTATTGGTTTTCACTCGGTTTAATCGGTGCTGCAATGAGGCACCAGCTGGGGAACGCTGAACTCTGATGTGTAGTTCCGCATCCGCTACCAGATTTCCGTCGGCATTTGATTCCAGTGGATCCAATTTGACAGCACAGACTCAACTAAAAACTTGGCTGACTGAAGTTTTGGCTAACGCAGCTGCTCCAGCACAGCTCACCAAGGCCATGTTACGTGCATTGGATACCACACAGCGGAAATTGACTCGTGCCACATCCACCACTCGTTAAGAACCAGCTGAGTGTGGACCGATTCTATTCAGTTTTGCCCCGTCGAATCGTCTCACCTTCGAGTCGAACTGCCGATCGTCTACGGGAATCCAATCTTCCTGTCGCTAATCTGCCGTTTAGCAATAACGAAACAATCACATCACCTGAGATCAATGCTGTCGGAATTAAGCATGTGCGCCGGAGCGCAAAGTCAGCGGTTGGAAGCTATGGAGCAAAGTTCAGTGCTTGTGGTTGGTCTAAGTGGTGCTTATCATCTCAGTCCAGGCTGTCGCATGGATTCGGAGTACTTCATGTCTACCGCGACCGATGCCAACGCGAAACCGACTGTGCCTATCGTTCTGCAGCCCAAACTGAAACCCACAGGTTGGCTTAGTCGTCTGACCACAAGGCATCCTCCGATCGATTTCAATGGCAAACATGATCCCGAAGTCAGTTACGATGAGATAGAGTTCACAGGGGATTTTGTGGGCTGATATCCGAGATAGATTGGGACGGGGGTTGTATTTGAAACGGGTGGGGGTGGGATTTGCATGCACACAGGTCAATCTGTACAGGATGAGTGAAATCAGATTTTTTTTTACATATTGTCAGAAAATTTCAAACACACATCAATATGATCATCGTAGACAACGAAAATTGAGAAACACGGCTGATCATCATTGCCTCAGCAGCTTGAAATCAATTTCCAGTAAACCAGGGGAAATCACCGGGGAGCAGTAAATGGGTACACAGAGTATATGCTGTCACCAACAAATCAGAACAGAAATGACACATTCTGCCTATATGAAAAGAGAGAGAACCTTCAGGTTGCGAGAAACACTGCGGGTATTCAAGGACCAACGAAGATTACTTTCAAGTAAGACACTTAAGTATTTCATCATGCTCATCGACTTTTCATGAATCGGTACATAGTTGGAGGGAGATGGGGGGATTAAGACCGAGTGAAGTGGAATATGAAACAAGGTGGGATACGTTTCTGTTATATGCAGTCAGTTCTGATTGGTCAGATGCGGAAACAGAAATGTTGATATAGTCGGTGTACTTTGAATGTCATAGAGGGGGTGTAACGGGTGAGTCACAGGTATAAGTCACAAAAATATAGGGTGATAAAATAGCCCATACTGATAGCGTTGAGAAAAGCCAAACCGGCGCAATGATGGGACAACCAAACGATTGCAGCTTGTTGATAGAACCGAAGCATAACGAGAATTCTTATTGCAAAGCGAACTAAACGGTGCTCTTGTAGTTACACCCAACCAGGTTTCCGATTGGCTGGGAATGTGTTCGATCAGAACAACACAGACGTATGTGTTTTGTGGAACAATAAACAACAACATCAACAACAACAAAATACTAAAAAGAATGAACTTCTATGCTGCTTTGGTTGAACTATTTTTTTTCCAATTCTGAGCTGTATGTTTCGAAGCGCTTCAACTTCTATGCCGTGACACTCAAGTTCGCGCCAATTCAAACGATGGTACACAATAGGACAAAGAACATTGCAAGGGAAAACGAAGATGCAATGCCGTTAATTCATTGCTACAGATACACCCGTATGATATTGGCAATTGAAATTGATCTCCAACCTGAGAGCCAGGTCACACACTAGTTCAATCGATTCGTGTATTGTGGATGCCATGCCATGTTTTGCTTTTCCTTTTCTAGCCCAAAAAAAACAAACCAGTGCAAAACACGCATCCTACCTGGCCCTGGTGAAACCCGAAAACAATATGTTCCCTTTGTAGTAGTCCTATTGGGGCTCGACGATCAGCACTAATTATAGTGTGTGATCACATTGCCCTGACATTCCCACTCGCCCGTCNCCCCCCCCCCCCCCCTCCTCTCGGTCCCTCGCCGAAAGTGTGCCCTGTATACCAAGAAAAATAACATAGACCTCGACGTTAAGAATAAGATTGCATCATGAGAAACAAGGAAAGTTTTGATCAAGCTAGTACCGAAAATTCATCATTTATTAGTTATCAAAATAATACTCTGGGTTTTGCCAATATTAGTTTGAATTGATAATTCGCATTTAATTCACAATTACTTGTGATTTGTGTTGTGGGATAACTGATATTGATTAACTGATTACGACTGATCACCCTTCAGGCTTCACCTTCACGCACATTCCTCAGCTCTTCCAGTCAACTATTTACCACTGAATTGGTGGGAGACTTTCGAGTGGAGTTATCAGATAATCAACTATGTCTCCCTTCGTTGGTATGGG